TTTAAAACTTAATGGTGAGACATTAAAACAACACTTTATATCCTGCTTGTATTTTAAACTGACTTTTTATTCAGACAATCTTGGGTCTTGATTATGATTGGTTTTATGGGGGCAGATGATTTTGGAGTTCTAAGAGTAAAAACCTTGAGTATGCTTAGGCCATGAGAATATTCTTCTGGCAGCAGCTCGTATATGTCTTGTCCTGAAACAGACAAAGTGCCAAATAACTGGAATATGAAGGTGATCTGGCTGTGGCATCTTTCACTCCATTAATTAGCCAGAGTTGATTTGGCTTACCTGGCCAGGCAGACTGGTGGCCCGTTCTCCCTCACAACGGTTATGTGTTCCTTGCAAAGCTGCCTGCTCAGTGAATGAGGACAGCTTTTGCCTGAGGGAGGGGGAAAAAAAAGAGGTTGTTCTTCAGTTGTGGCTGTAGATGTCTGTACTTCACTGTTAGCTTCTCCAAATAACCCCAAATAATAGCTGTGTGGTTTTTATATTAACCTACACGTCATATAAAGAAAAATAATGCCTGGATTTTGGAAAATAAATATCCAGGTTATCTTTGAGGTTGCACAAAGTGTTAAGTAACGGTGAATGTGCAAATCTTTTAATCCTGACAAAAAGGATTAGTCTGAAATCAATCAAAAGCATATCTCTCCCTGTGTAAGTCTGAAAGGGAGCTATGTTATGTCATCAAACAGCACAGTTTTGAAGTGAGGGAAATGTAGCTGATAATATCTGCCCCAGTATATAGCAGCTAAAAAGCCTCCACTGATTTCTGTTTATAGTCTGTTCGTTAATATAAATGAGCTAATATAGTCTCTAGCTTGCTAATTTGCTGGCAGAATAAATCAGAATAGCAAATTCATAAAACCTGTCATGCTTGTCTCTTGGCTCGTAGTAAGAATCAACAAACGGTAACTGACTTTTGTGAAATAGAATTACCTAGTGGAAGGAACTTGGACTTTGGAGTTAGAATTCCTGGGTGTGGTGCTTACTTACTGGCACTTGAGTAAGTTAACTAATCCTTTTGATCTTTATTTATCAGTAGTAAAATACTGCTTTCAACAGTTTTGAGAACTAAATAAGGTAATTTATATAAAATCATTTTAGTAAGTATATGGCATATAGTATATGGCAATATCCCAATAAATATTTATCCTTCTGTTACCACTGTAAACATTAGTCCTCCTACATCTATGGTAAATAGTATAAGTTAAACCAGGAATGATCGTGCCCATCTATAATCTCAGGTGCTACAGAGGATGAGGCCAAAGGGTCTCAAGTTCAAGGACAACCTATGCACTTACAAAGACACTATCTCAAAACAAAGAAGAATTGGGGATATAGCTCAGTGGCAGAGTATTGTCCAAGAAAGCATGATGCTCTTGGGTTCAATTCTCAGTCCCAAAAAAGTCTTAATTATTTAAATTAATTACATTGTGATCTTCAATACAAAATGGACTCAAGTGAATGCATAGAATAGTTAAGATATAACTTGCCTGTCTTTTTCCCTACCACTACACTGTCAAAAATCTCTGATGAGAAGTGGGATTCTAGTATTTAAGGATCACTTCTTAGAAGCTGTGCATGTGTATTAAAAATAATACAATTTCTATCATCAGTAACTTAAATCATAGTGGAGAAAAAACATTTAGTTATGATTCCCTTGTGGGTGTTACATTAGTAACTTAATGTAAAAATAATAATAGCAGGGAACATGGACATAAGAATAAAAGCTTGAAGAAGAAGAAGCAAAAGAAAAAAGATTAAAAAGTAAGATTTGCAGGGCCTAGGGAGATGACTCATCACAGTAGTTAAAGATACTTGCTGCCAAGCCTGATAACCTGAGTTCAATCCCCAGAATCCTTATTGTGGATGGAGAGAACCAATTTCCACAAGCTGTTTACTGACCTACATACTAAGGTCATGTTCCTAGTAAGAGGCCACTTATCTTGGTTCCAGAACCTAATCTTAAAGCCTCCTACATGACTGCTGATGCAGCATTAAGTCCAGGAACTTAATAGCATGTAATCAGCCTAACAACAGAAGAACATAACCACATAAATTTCCTAAATCTGTTCACATAGTCTGGCTGCTAGAATTTATTGAGAATTTACTCCCTGACTTGAAAAGTCTATGAGACAATGTATAAAATGCATTTGACTGTTAAAAGTGTCTGTATTTACAGAGTCAAAGAATGGTTTTTAGCTAATTGGAGGAACTGGGGATGTGACTCAGTTGGTAAAATGTTTGCTCAGCATTCATGTAGCGCATGCATGATCCCCAGCACGGTACAAATGGCATTGTAGTATATGTACATAATCCTAACAGTAAGGAAACTGAGGTAGTAGAATTGACATGAGTTTGAGCACAGTTAGGACTATGTGGGGGAAAAAAACTCACAAAGAAGTGGTATTGGGACCTGCCAGATGGCTTAACAGGTGTAGTAACCTGCTGCCAAGCCAGACAGCATGAGTGTGACCCCTCAACCACATGGTGGAAGGAGAGAACGCACCCTCACTAGTTGCCCTCTGGCCTCCACAAGTGTGCCATGACACATGACTACTCCCACACATGCACACTAAAAAATTATCTTTAAAATAATGGAACATGCTTATTACTTGGTAGTTGGAGGCATGATCAGAAATTCAAGGTCATCTTCAACTCTTAAGATCCAGGCTAGCCTGGGATAAAAAAAAAAAAAAAGAAAAAGAAAACAGTATCTAAATGAATAAAACAAGCCTGTTAGAGCAATAAAAGAGAAAGGAATGAGGGAGTGTTTCCTTTTGTTCAAACTGTGTTTTAAAAGCCTCCCACAAAATGTAAGGCAAATTTTACTCAGCAAATCTTTTCCCATGAACTTTCTTTAAAAAAAAAAAAAGCTAGTTGTGAGATGGCCCATTAGTTAAAAACACTTGTTCTCCAGAGGATCTGAGACCTAGACCTACATGTGATTCAGTGTTCTGGAACTCTAGTTCCAGGGGATTCAGTAGCCTCTTCTGATCTCCTTGGGTACCAGGCATGCATGCAGTACACACATATACATGCAGCCGAACCACTCATACACGTAAGAATATACCTAAAAACTTTAAATTGAAATAGAAAAGGCATCCTGGCATTCGGATTTCTAAGGTTCCTTGAGCTAACTATTTTTTTATAAACACTAAGAATTTAGTCATTTCTGCTTCAGTATTGCTCATTTTAGCAGCTCACTCACTCTGATTTCCTAGATTTAGTACTGTCATAGGTAACAGTGTAAGCACAGAACAGATAATGATGATGAGAAAGGAACTATATGTTGGGTAATTATATAATCATTTAATTAAAGCAAGAGTCAAATTACAGCATTGATACTTATTTAAACCAAACTTAACCACTTCAAAATTCACATAATTCACTCATTGTATACACACATTTTGAGTCAAATGTTAGGAATTATCCAAGTTATAATCTTGTGATTTCATTGGAAGGGAATACAGAAATAACAATTGTATTGTAATTGGAAATTATTTTACTTGAGCTTAGTAAAATATTATAACAAAATTATCATCTTTCATGTGAGAACTTATCAATTTAGAAAATGTTTAGAGAGGGATATCAGGATTATGTAACTGTATTTATTTCTCTGTTGGAAAGGTAAATATTAAGTTGACTGTAACCTAGAAATAATTGTGAATCAGGATCAAAAGAGAAGGACTGTGAATGTAGCTCTGAGGTGGCACACTTCCCTAACACGCACAAGGCTATGGACTTAATCTCCAGCACTCACCAGAGAACTTAACAGAAATATTCATGCTCTTAAAAATCGTAAACTCCTAGGAGACAAGATCTCTATTTAATAATTCCTTATTGTCCTCATAAACTAGTGCTCTACATGTAACATTTGTTGAACAATTAAGTAAGTGTATTTTTCATTTTTTATTTTGTGTGTGCATGTTTTTGCCTGTATGCTTGTCTGTACACCATGTGTATTGCACAGCCTGTGAAGGCCAGAAGAAAATCACAACAAACTTTAGAGTTGTAAGCCACCATCTGTGGTTGCTGGGAATGGGATCCTGATCCCCTGGAAGAGCAACCAGTGCTTTTAAAACCCCTGAGCCTTTCCTCCAGCCCACAATTAAATAAGTTTATTATTTGATAATTACACATAAGGGGAAGATGTGGTAGTTCACACATGTAATACCAGCTCTTGAGGGCCTGAGGCAAGAGAATTTTTGTGACCTTCAACCCAGCCAGCCTTGGTTACATTGTGAGATCTTCAGCATTAAAACAAAGTAAGGAAAAAATTTTAGCATGTTTCTTGCCAAAAGTGCTTGTTTTATTTTGTGACATTAAATGCAAAGAAATAGATATATACTTCAGATGTGTTCTTGAAATTGGGTTCTTTCAGGATGAGGTTTATTTTTCATCATCATTTCTGAGTGCACAAAAGTACTAATTGCACATTAAAGGCATATGTTAATTACATTTTTAAAAGTTTGGATATCAAATACTGCCAAAAGCAGTCCATTAAACAAATGCAGCACTAAAGGAAGGCATCCTTGTGTTACTAAGGGGTTTCCATTTTGGTTGAGGGTCCATAATCTTCATTCAGATGACATGCTTACTCAGGCTCCTGAATGCAGAGCTCATTTTAAGGTAAGGCTTATTTCAGGTTATTTTGAGTTGTGAATGTAGATTTTAACTGAGCAATAGTTTTTTTGTGTGGCATTTTGCCTACTTTTAATAAACGGCCACTGGTTTTGTTTTTGTATCACCTTGAAGAGTGTAATAGTTTTGGCTCTTAATAAGCAGCGTTGTTTATGTGTCTGTCACGGGTAGTTACAGTTTAATATTTGCTTTCCCTGAGGCTTGTTTGATTCACTATTTTCACTTGACTTACTAGCAACCATCTGTTAGTTACAGTTTAACTTTCAAGGCTCTATGTAATTGGGTTTCTGTTAATGAGGTGCTGTAAACAGCATTATGAAGTTTTTCTCTTTTAATCTTGAAAGGAAAAAAATCCATATCTAAAAAAGCAATCACAAAGAAGAGGAAAACTGTCACAAAGTCACCTGCTGTGCCGGAGTTTCAGGTAAATGTTTCAACATTGTCACCAAGTTCTTCTTTTTTTTAAGTTTTTGTTTCACTGTCACTCCTTGAGGGAATGGCTGAATTTCAAGAAACTACAAGGAGTATACTTTAATGATTGTTTTCCACAGTGTGCTTCCCTTTAAAGTTACAGATGTAGGCAAAAAAAAAAAAAAAAAGAAAGAAAGAAAGAAAAAGAAAAAATGTAATTTTTTAAATCTCTGTCTCTGACAAACCTTGGTATTTTTAGTTTCCAGCCTGTACAAACTTTTGTAGATGTAGTTTTAATGGAAATGTATGTGTATATTTATCTCTTCTTTATATTTGTCAGTATATGTAAACAAATACATAAATGAAAGTCATCTAAGGAAAAAAAAGTCACAATTTATACACAGTATGTTATTCTGGTAAGCCTAATGTTACTCTGGTATGTTACTCTGGTAAGCCACTTTTACATATTTAACCAATATAGAAGTGGTGGACTGATTAACTTGAAAAACGGGTATTTTAATTCTTAGCTATAAATAAACATAAGAGAGAATATTTAGTAAAGGCTAAATATAAGTCTTTAAACATTTTTGCAAAAAACTTTGCTGCCATATGTGAAGTGTTAATACTGAAAGTAAGCAACCTTGTTATAAAGAAGTATGCTTTTATTTTCTACTTAATTCAGTGTTTTCTTCAACAAATGACACTTTCTTTAAAAAATTGTTTTTGTATTATTGTGGCCAGTCTGTCTCCAAAAAGTTTATAAGCTCATAAAATAAAAGTGTGATATATTTGAATTTGTAGGTCTTAGGTAGTTATGAAAATAAAGGGGCAAGAAAAATACTATGTAACAGTGTCATAAATCTGTTTTCAGTAAAAATCCTATTTGGGGGAAGTAGAAAATTAATAAAAACCAAGTATCTTTAAATAGTCAAAGGAAAAATATATATATACATATATGTATATGTATATATACACATATAATAGTTAACTACTTTAATGACATTATTATGATAAATAATATTCTTTAGAAATTCTTTATATAACCTTTTTACAGAATCTCCAATAAAATATAATTTACTATTTGGTTGGAAGCCATCCTGCCATTTATTGCTTATAACATATAATGGTATAGTATTACATTTTTATGCTTCCACTGCTAATCATGCTAGCTTTTGTTATTTATCCCATTCATTTTTTCCCCTCAATTTCTTAATACAGAATTCTATAGATCTTAAGACAAAATGGTCCACTTTTAATATTTTCCTTTTTTCTTTATTAATGAATAGATTTTTGTATATAATAGTAACAGACTGCATAAATAGTGCTTGGTAAAGTTTCAGATAGTATTAGTGATATATGAAATCCATGTGTTTCTTTTTTAAGTTATCAATATTAAAAAATAATTTATCAGTATATCAGTTTATCACAATGTCATGAATATGTATAATTGAATATATTGTTTTATGAAGCTGATGTTGCCTCTGTATATGTGTGTTGACATGCTTACATGTGTCAACATGTGAAATGTATTTTTCACTCTGGCTCATGGGGAAAAGTTGGAAAACTTTGTTGTGATACTTCTAGTCAGTTATTGACCATTTGCTTATCACTCAGAAATTTAAGGTCAAAAGTACATGTTTTGTTAGATTGAACTGTTCAAAATAAATAAAGTCCCTTTCCTAGTTCTTAAGGCCTGGAGGTAAAGGAGTGCGCTCTCTCTCCCTCTCTCTCTCTCTCTCTCCCTCTCCCTCTCCCCACCTCTGTGTATGTGTGTGTGTGTGTGTTGGGGAGTTGTAGCTGTCTTGTTTGTGAGTCTATATTAGACTAAGGTAGCTCTTGTTTCTAGTTTGCAGTGTGAATACTTTGTTGTGATTCATGAAGAGAACTCGAAACAGTCTTCTGAAATAGAGATTAAAGGGGCTGGAGAGGTAGCTCACTTGTGAGGACTTTTGCTGTACTTTTGTTCCTAGCATCTACATAGTGACTCATAACCATCTGTAACTCTACTTCCTGGGGATCCAACACCCTCTTATAGCCTCCAAGGGCAGTAGGCATATTTGTGGTATACATACATACATGTAAGCAAACACTCATACACATAAAATGAGAATAGGTGAATCTTAAAATGCCAATTATTATCTAATAAAGAAGTGAATTTTTTGTCTTCCCCAAAGTACTGGTAGTATATGTAGCACCTCATTTATTCGTATTGAACATAAAAACACTTTGTAGAAATAGTTTAGTAAGATTTTAATAGTAGCTATTCTATACTAAAATATCCATTTTTATTACTGCAAATAAAACTTTGATATATAAATATTAAATTGCATTCATAAAACCTGTCCTATTTACCAAAAAGCTGATCTTTGATAGAAAATATGCTTAGAGAGAAACAGTTTAAAAAGATTAAATGTTGTCTTAATGAGCTAAGAAAAGGTGAAGCCTTTTTGACCTCAATTTCTTTGACAGTGTTTTTGTTGACTTGTTAAACGCTATAAGTTAAATTTGCCTCCTTTAGCTGCTTTCATGAGAATCTGTGTTTATATGTACACTATAAAATTCCATTCCAGAAAATATCTTCCCATTCATATTTAGATTATGCACTAGGGACTCTGAAGTGATGGCTTTGGTTTCATTTTGTGTGTATATTGTAAAGAAACTAAGAGTATTTATGTCCTTGATTCTTAAAGTTTATAAAGTACTAAGATAATCAAATGCCTTTATTTAAAGCAAAAATTCCTAGGTTTCATCCTCTCCATAGACCTTCAGTGAGTAGTTGGTATCAGTGCTGTACATAGTAGTTAAAACATGTGGATTCTAGATCTCGACTACTTGAGTTTGAATGCCAAACCTGCCACCTGACTATTGTGTCACCATAGGTAAATTAGTCAAACTCTGTGAGTCCAGTTCTTCATCTGTACAGAGGGGAGATAATAGCCAGTACATTTTTAGAGTCATTGTGAGGGTTAATTCCATAGCTTACTGTTCCAAATAGGCATAGACTTCTGTTGGAAAGTACTGCATTTTAATTGGGACAATTAATTAGGAGTTTACTTAAGAGCATCCAGTGTGCTCTTAAGTACTTAATGGAAACTATAGGAATCTTAAAGTGAAAAACCAAATAATAACATCGGATCACAGAGTGAAACTCAGTCTTTCTTACTCTAGTGTCCTGATTAGTATACAGTGACACAGCAACAAAATTGTTGAATTTATTTATTAGCAGTTGACTGCAAAAATAAAAAAAGAAAAGAATGTTTTTATTTTAAATGGTAGAATAGTGATGGTTTTAAGTTTTATATAAAATTTAACCTTTATGATTTTATTTAATGTTTTCTTTGTTTTGTAACATAAAGACTCTTGGACTCAAAAGTAAATGTCATTTTTCCTATTAAAGTTCATTTTTGCTCCTCTGAAAGCCTTTCTTTTTTTCAGTATTTAAAACTGTAGTAGTATATAAATTCTCTGTGCTAAATTAAATTAGAAAGCGTTTTTAAAACTTGATGTGTCTAGTCCCAGTAAGCTCCATTTGTAAAGTGAAGGCACTGGAAAGCTAGTTAATTGGTTAAGAGGACTCAGTGCTCTTTCAGGGATCTAAGTTCAGTTCCCAGCTCTCACACCAGGCAGCTCACAAACTGCCTCCCTGTAACGTTAGCTCTAGAGGATCCAATGCTTCTGGCCTCTGTAGGCACCTGTACTCACATGCACACACACACACAGACATACAATCAAAAATAATTAAGATAATTTCTTAAAGTTATAGTAAGTAAGGGCTGAAGAAATGGCTCAGCAGTTAAGAGTACTTGCTGGCCTTTGAGAGGATACAAGTTCTGTTCCCAGCACCCATGTCATGTGGCTCACAAGTGCTTGTAACTCCTGCTGAAGGGATCTCGTGCCATCTTTTGGCTTCCTCGGGCAGTCACACACTTAACTTAACAGACATACATAATCAAGAACAAATAAAATCTAAAAATACAAGAATAATTTTAAGTGCGCTTAGTTGCCATGTTTCTGCTTTTCATTGGTAATCCCACCACACACACACACACACACACACACACACACACAGTTTAATGACTGTACTTGGCATCTGTTCTAAACATATTATTCTACAGGTTAATTTACAAAGGAAATCCACAATCTATATGTTAAGACCTACGCAGTATTGTTTACAAACATAAACTTTTAACTAATATCCCTGAAAAAAAGAAGTATATTTCTCCACCTAACCAAATAAGGAATAAGAAAATAAGTACTATCTTCATATAAAAACTAGAGACTACAACTGAAATCAGAATTTTTAACTTCCCTATGTTATAAGGAACCATAGATTAAATAATATTTTAATTGCTACCTGTTAAATTACATATTTTCAACTTTACCTCTTTAAAACCATTCAACTTTCTTTAAGGCATTGAAAAACATTTCTAATTACATGGTATTTAAAAATACTTTGTTAAATTGTTTGTCAAAATTATTTTTCTTTCATGTCTCTGTAATTTATTGTCCTTGCTGTTGTAGCATGGTGATCATAAGAAAATGAGATTTTCAGCCAGATATTGGTGGTGCATGCCTTCGATCGCAGCACTCAGAAGGCAGAGGCAGGTGGATCTGTGTGAATTTGAGGCCAGCCTGATCTACAGAGCGAGTTCCAGGACAGGCTCCAAAGCAATACAGAGAAACCCTGTCTCAAAAAACAAAAAAAAAAAAAAAAAAAAAGAAAAGAAAAGAAATAAGATTTTCTTGTCAGCATAGTTCTAAAAACTATTAATATATTTTTTGTTTAAATACTATATGGATTTTTAATTTGGATCATATATTTAGTGTTTTACTTAAATTTTAAATCAAGAATCTTTTTATTAGAATGGTAGTGAAAATAATCCATTTGTTTGAACATAATTATTACTTTTCAATGTGGTTTGCCCTTGTCTTATTTAATATAACATACATTTTTTAATTTTGTATAATACTTTTATTTGGAAAAAATCTTTCAAACCTAGTGGCATGATTTTGGTGATTGAATTGATAAAGTAAGGAAATTTTTAGTGTGTAATTTTTCTGAGATATTGCCATGAAATTCTTTTATCTATATAGTACTTCCTTACGCTAATATATATGTACATTCATTTCTAATTTTTTAATTGAAGAGATGGTCTTTTAATACTGCCAGCCAATGAAAATAATGTTATGAATAGTTTTGTATCCTAAAGCTATGTGTTCTATTCTTGCTACTTTTAAATTTTTTTCTGTTTTGTTTAAAAAGACCCCTTGTATGATGTGATATAGTAGATGGAGTTTAAAGTTCTGTTGTTTGCTCTCCCAGTGCATCATCTTAGGGCCTTTCACATCTGTTGCTTTTAATTCTTGTGGATCAATTAGAGATGCACCTCTTTAGCCTACTCTAAGCCTTGAACCAAGTTACAGAATTTTAGGCCATTTCATCTGTAAGTTGGTTGAGTGTGGCTCAGCCTGGATATAGTCAAGTAAAAAGCTTCCTTTAACATGAGTGTGCCACTGTGTTCTCCCTGCAGGGAAGCCTCTGAAAGTGTGTGGTAATCCCAGCAGCTCAGCTGTCTTTTCACCCAGAAGACCCTGTGTCTTGCAAGCACTTTCTAAATTAATACTAATGAGAAAGGGATTTAATGAGATGCTTTTCTTTGTTCTTACTAAATGCATCTATCGGTCCTCTTAATAAAGTGAATTTTTACTGTGTTGATTCTAGTTTTCATAAAATTACCATCTGAAATTGAAGACTTTCCTTTTTTAAGAAGTAGGAATTGAATTGTATGTGACATAAAGTTGGCATAAATTAAACTATGTTTCTACTCCAGAATTTTGTAATATTTTAGTATGATTTAACATACTATATATATTAGGTATATAGAAATATAAAGAATATATTTGAGTATTAAGAGTATAAGCCAGGCCTGGTTGTGATAGCACGTATCTGTGACCCCAGCACAGATAGGCTACATAAGTTTGAGGACATCTTGCTCTATGTAATGAAATAAATTCTATCTCCACAACAGCAGCAAAAGTTGTAAATGATTATGTAGATATTAAGTTATTTTAATATATCTTCAAGATAAATATCATTAAAAATATTCTGAACCTCAAACTTAGAAAATTTACACTTAGCACTTTGATAAGGTCATTTATTTTAAGATCATCTTAAAAATACCCTACCCTCCTAAATTCAGAAATTAGTTATTTTGAATTTTCATATACATTAGCTACATAGCATCAGAATATTTTAATGTATCAGTAGCTGTGCTGGCTTGTAATTCACAGTCATTAAGTACATGACTACTCAAAAGTGTGATCCACTGACTCTACCTATAAACTCGTCAGGTGTGAGGCATACTAAATTCAAAACTATCAAGGTTCCCCTCCAATTCTTATGTGTGTGGTTTAACACATCTTAGTATCTAGGTAAGCCATTTAGAAGTGTTACTTCATATAGCTTTTAACGCTTTGGCCTCAGCTATGTTCCAGCAAATGAAATATAATTATTCATTAATGTCATGACTAACTGATAATTAAAAGAGCTTTAAAAATTCTAAGATGTGTTTAGTTTGTTGTGTGTATGCCTTCATTTTTCCTGTAAATTTCTATATTCTGCACATAAAGCTTCCTCTTGCTATCTTAGGTGATCTACCTAAAATATAAGGAAAATTTCTCTGAGCCTTGCCATATAGATAAGTGAAAAAATCTATGCAGTGATATTACACCAAGTACACCAAATTCAGTGAAAAAGGACAAATCTGACATAGTAATAATAACTACAGACTGCAGTGAGTACTCACTAAAACTTAACTGGAAAGCTGATGTTGCCCTGTAGATTCATAGGTACAATAGAAGCTGAAGATTACCTAGTTGTAGAACTACTTCCCTAGTTGGCCAGTCTACTGCTCGACCATCATCATTTCTTTCATAACCAGATTTAGGAAATTGGAATGTTTGATTTCCAGTAATTATCATTTACACTCTCCTACTACAATATTGTGTAGTGTTTTTACTCTGAAATTGCTTTTATTTTTGTATTTTGCAAGTACTCTGCCACTGAGCACATCCCCAGTCCTGAAATTGTTTAATTTGGATTACTTAGGTGTATACTTCCCCTGTTTATCAGTGTATTTGAAATTTTATAGATATTTCTAGAAGGTAATTACTAATACTAATTATGGTATAGTATCTGTGATAAATTTTCTTAATCACTTAGGTTGAACCATATTGTCATTTTTGTAGATAAATGTATCTAAGAATTTCTTATAGTTTTAGCCAAATTTAAAGCATTTCCTGACTCCTGTTTTAATCAGTCCATAACAACTAGCATGTATCTTGTGTGACCCACTTTTGCTTGTTATTTTATCCGATTTTCTAATAAAAGAAAGTATACATTTTAAGAAACCAGTAACTTTACATTAATGAATGTAATGAGCACAGTGATGAATGTTAGTGATAATTTATAAATATATAACATATTTTAAGTTATATGGTATAAACATCAAGATTTTCTTGGGTCTGAAACTTGTCTGTGTGGATGCAGTTTTGTTTCTGGATTTTCTGTTACTTTGGATGTTCTTTGGTTGCTTGAATTATTTTAGGAAAAGGGTTAAATATATTAAACTCATTGGAAAAATTCAATATAATTTTACAGGAACTAAATGGAATAGTAAATATTTTTCTTAGTATTTCTGATGCTTCGGTTTATAAAACTATAGTAACCCAGGCTAGGTCAGTTAATAACTAAGAATTCATCATTTTGCTCATTAACCAGAATTAACGAAGTAAAATAAAATGAGCCACACAATTACAGACATACTCTTTATAAACAGGTTTTTAATTTATAAACAGGTTTAGAGATGGCTAAGCCATTAAAGGCTAGGCTCACAACCAAAAACCTATTAAGCTCAGTTGGGCAAGGTGGCACATGTCTAAATAGCACTAGATGGCTGAGCAGGAACATACATAGTAAGACCTTTCTCAAAACAGCAACAGTTAAAAACTATTAAACTCATGAAAAGATTGTGTACTTAATTTTGTTCATATCTTTAAATATGTTACATGTAGTTCTGGTCCTTTAGTACCACTGCCAGCAGCAATAACTCAGTTTGTTGAATTATATAGTTAGCAAACCAAAGCAAAGGGATAATGGCTACTGTCACAGGACTGTAGTTCACCTGCTCAGAATGCCTGGTGCAAGGATTTCTTGCAGGTGATTCAGTAACCTATAAATTCTAATGAGTTTCCAGATCTTTGTCATTCTGGGATGAAAGCTAATAATACTAAAAAAGTAATGGGATTATAATGCCAACTTTGAGATGTAAGATAAGACTACCAATGTTGTAATTTAAGTTTATTTTATATGAAGCCTGAAATTCATACATCATAACAAGTAAATTTCTTAGATAGTATGTGCACCTTTCCTTGCTTTTATTATTGCAGAAAAGTAATCTTAATTTCAGTATATGTTAAACAATTTATGTTACCACATTTTTGGTGTTTTATATTATGTGTTATCAAGCTGTGTTTTTGTGTTTTGTTTTAGCTTATTTGCACTAATCTTGATGAACTCAGGGAATTAATCTCAAAAATCGAGAATGAACTCAAAGATCTGGAAAACAGTAGAAAAAAATCGGTAGGTGTTTATCAAAAAGTTCTATCTATTATTGTCAGCATTAAAATTTATTCCTGCTTTTTTTCCAAAGTTTTTAAAAATCTTGTTCTCCTAATTACATGAAAATTTACAACTAAAGATAGAAGCATTGTGTCTTTCATTTCTCCCATGTGATCTAATTTTCATTTTTAAATCAAAAAGATGGTATCTCTGTCTGCTTGGTTTATAACAAGTATAGTCTTAGATATTACTCAGTATGCTAATTGTTTTCTAACTAGTAGCTTTTTGGATTTTGCATATTCTTTGCATATCTTTAATGGAAGCCTATTGCTTAGTAACAAGCTTTTCTAATTATGTGTAATATAAAACATATACCAGGCCCCAAATTCTTACCAAATGACTCCTAAGTTCTTAAGATCAAGTTTTACTATATATTTGACAACTAATTTCCTGAATTTTTCATTGTTAAGAAGACGATACAGTATGAGAGTGTTATATATGAGATACATACATATATACATACATACATACATTACATACATACATACATGTGCTCTCACTTGGTAAAGTTCTCCATGTTGTTTTTTATTAAATAGATCATCACCTACTTAAATGGCATTTATAGTTGGATTATAGCATAATGGAAACAGTTATATACCAATAGATAAATGTGGAAAATATCAAATATTTAAGAAAATTAATCATTATAAAAACTTTGTTTTATCATGAAACCTCTTGCTTTGTACCTAAAACTGTTAATATAAATGTGTCTAAATATGATGACTGATTCAGCAGGTTTACAGTAGCCATTTTACATGCTGTTAGGAATGATATGTTAGAAGTACTTTGAAGGGAGCAGACTGAAGTGTCAGAAAACTTTAGACTCTGAAGTTGTTTAATGCAGTATTTCAGTAGTCTGTCACATGATACCTCTGAGAAGATCACTGTAACCTACAAGGTGAAACAATGTTCTGAATAGTCCTCAGCCACATGTGGTTCACATCTTTAGTACCAGCACTCAGTGGAGGCAATGCCTAAAGGATCTCTGAGTTCAAAGCCAGCCTGGTCTGTATGGTGAGTTCCAACTCTGCCATAGAGCTAGCCAACACTACTTAGTGAGACCTTGTCTCAAAACAAAAGAAAAACAATCTTAACAGTCATTAGTTAACAATAAAGACCTTATCTTATTAAAGGGTGGGGAAACTTCCATTTAAAAACAGTTGAGACGTTTTTTGATTTTCATATGTACTTTAGCTATCTGGGAAGTCTCTTGATGTGGAAGGCTGATTTATTAAAATTTCCTACAGTAATGTGTTATACAAAAAATTTCATGTGAAAATATTTTCAGACAAAAGTTGTTTTATCTTATTTAAATTTTTTGTTTAAAAAGGCTGATTCTTTAGTAAGAAATGATATTTTCTTTAAAATCAGGGGTATAACTTATGCAGAAGCTGTTGCTTTTAGTTATTATATCAGAAAGCTGTTTTCATATTTCACAACTGAGCAGAAGTCTGTAAATTGCTAAACCTTTATGTACTTCACTTACACTTAACTTTATTCTGTTTGTATAAAAAGTTTTGTTCCTATGGCATAGTTTTAAGCATGATTTAATACTCACAGCACATATTACAGGTGCTAGGGTTCTCTGCAAAGCCGTCCTCCTTATTTTCTTAGTGAGTGGACGTCAGTGTAAGCATATAGGATCAAGTAGAAGAAAAAGTGAAGAAAGCAAACTGAAGGTGCTTGACAACATAGGCTTTGAGAATGTTTGTTAGAAGCTTCAGGTTATATAGCATTTGATGGGTTACCTTTTGTGTGTCCAAACGACATCCTTTGGTATTTGCAAGTTCTTGGAACTGTACTTTACCAGGAATAATTTTACTGAATTACCAACATAGGGTTTAAACTATTTCCCCTTGACTGAAATTGCCTAAAAGATTATTACATAGATGATTGTCTGGGCCATTGAAAATGACAGAGCATAAAACAAATAGGAAAGTTCTCATTTTAGAATTCTCCCTCTCCCCCTGCCCCAACATAACCTTTTTCCTTTACAAAATCTGTGAGGAATGTGATCTCTGTAAATTGCAGAAAGTAACAAATTGGGTATTTGTTACTGTTTAATGCCAGCTTGTATTTGTTTGCTATCATTAAAAAGTAATATGCTTTCCTTAACAGAATTTTTACATGAACTAGAACTCTTATTAAACATTAGTAAGCATAAATTATATCAAAATCCTTACCTTACTCTGAACTTTTTTTTTTTGCATCTTACCATCTGTGTACAATTTAAGCCTTTGTAATTGACTGCAGGATCACTGTTGTGAATTATCAGCTGTCTTATTATTGTAAAAATCTGTTGCTATCACTTGTTCTTATTAAAGATTCATCCATATATTTTGAAGAATTATTTTGTTTTGGTGTGTTTGCTTCATGTCTTTTTTTTTTTTTTTTTTCATTGCCAGGCTTTCTGCCAGTTATCATTTCTTAATTGTGTTTGTTTATCTGCCCTAGTTGGAATATTGTGATTAAAAAGCCATACTTACTAGAATTGGGCTTAGAGTAAAGACTATTTATTGCATGAAGACTTTTTCTTACTAATAAAATGTATGAACTTCATGATAGAGATAGCTGTCTTGACTTATTCCTTATCTTGTGATAAATTAAAAATTAATATTTATCCCCTGAGGATTAATGTCAAGACTAAAATAGTATTTAGAATCAAAACAAGTTTTCAGTTAATAATGACTTTTATTATTTCAATAACAATGAATAACAAAGAAGATGTAAATTTTCATTCCCCATAAGTGTCACTACTAAAGTTAGAGATTGCACATGGGATGTTGATTTAGTAATAATTCATATAATAAGTGTTTAGCTGTTTCTTCTCTCTGAGGTCTGTCCTGATAGTATTATCTACCAAACAACAAGCAAAGCCAGGCACCCTATGCATCCCTGTAATACCTTCTTATCCAGTAAACATTGCATTGAAAAGGTTATTTTGTTTTCTAATTTAACAGACTTTATGCTGTAGTGCACTTTATAGTTAGAGGCTTTTCTAAATACCTCGGGTTGTGCTGTTGAACTGTTTGTTGCAATGGAAGATTATAGTTTCTTAAAAGTCTCGGTGGTTTCCTTTGGGTTCTATAAAGCTTTACCTCATTACTGCCTCAGCTTTGTCTATAGTGAGATCTGGTTAAGATGAAATTTGACAAAACCTTTTCATTTTTCTTATCATAATTTAGGTCACAGGAGTTTTTAGTATTTTCAAGGAGGAATCCCTTTTTTTACTCCTTGAGTTCATGTGGCTTTAGTTAAAATAATATTTCCATTCTGCTGAATTATTTGGAAGACATTCTTTGTACTCTAATTTTTTTTTAAGTTTTCCTGAAAGTTAAGAGTATGGAATGTTTTAATACATTTACTCAGTCTCACTATATTTGAGGTTTGTTACACATACTGTATTCTAGGTAGTAAAAAAAAATGAAAGATTTTTGGTACCCTTTTTTAAAAAATTTTCATGTGAGCCTGTTTTTTAAAAATCATATTTACTCCAGTTGTGCTTTATCATAGCTTGTTCAAAGAGGCATCTGCCTTCCAGCAAAGATTTGCATAAAGATTAAGCATTAAAAAAAAAAAATAAGAAATGTGAGCTGCCTCACTAGGAATGTGATCTCTGTATTTCTCTGTACAAAGCAGTGATGTTATCACAGTGGTGATTGTGTGTTTTTCTACTTGATTTTAATGCTAATTTAGAAGGATAATGAAATGTGATATATACTGTTCAATGTGAGACTTAGATGAAAATTGGTGAGAGTATCAAGAGAAAATTTTACTCTGGCATTGTTAAAACACTGTTTCAACTTTTTCCATAGTAATGTACAGTCGTTTCACTGTAATATCAAAACTAGTATTTTTCAAAAGGCACTCTGACAGTGAGATTAAGGTGCTATTTTATCTTCTCAAATGAATATGCAGGACCATGGAAATTTGGAGGTAGTTTCTCTAGGTAAGAAATTATGAAAGCAGAAAATACTTAATGAATGCAGAATTAATTTTTCACTTAGACTATAAAACATATCATACAGCTTATTAAAATAGTTTGTGTTTTGGGGGGGTTGGTTTTTTTTTTGTTTGTTTGTTTGTTTTAAGACAGAATTTCTCTGTGTAGCCCTGGTTGTCTTGGAACTCAGATCTACCTTCCTCTGCCTCTCCAGTGCTGGGATTAAAGGAGTGCACCACTATACTTGGCTAAAATGATTCAATTTTGTTTGTGCTATTTTCATTTCATAGGAGTTTGCATTCTTTACAAGCCACCTTTGGATTGGATTTGGTTTTGAATTAACCACCATTGATCATCAGGGGTCACTGACACTTTGACCATTTAATTTTTCTTGAAAATTACAATACAACCATATTAATAAGTTGGCAGTCCTTTTCCAACATAGGATTTCTGTTTGTAGGAAGAATCAGGCCTATAAGTACTTTGCTTTGTGATGGATGTTTCTTTCTATGCACTAGTGTTTGTAAGCAGAAGCATTTTAAAAAGTAGCATTTAAAAAGAAATTCTTGCCTATATAAGACTTTACTTTGTTAATACATGGTTCCTAGTAACCTTTTGTGATTATATACATTACAAGAAAATCTGCATATGAAATTGGATGGTTTGTAAAAGTGAGTTTGCCATACAAAACATCTGAATTTATTAATATGTAAACATATCCATAACAATGAGATACTTAAGTCTAGAATTTGTTTTCCTTTTCTTCCCTTAGGTTTCCAATGTCCCCAGCATTAGTAGATTGCCAACTCCCTCTTTACAGCACCCTAGCCAGTGTTAAGCTGGCATTGTCAAACCCATCCCAGATTACTGCAGCAGATGGAGTTGTTCTTTAGTTATAAGGTAAGTTCCCCCATGCTCATTTCACACTCGTTGAGATGCAGTTTTTCATTTTACAATATTGTATAGTTTTGTAAGTTTTTCTTTCCTCATGTGATTCCCTAGGTTATTGGTGCATTAT